TGGAAGACTGGAGAGATGGCTCATTGGGTAAAGGCCCTTGCCACCAAGCCTGATGACCTGAGTTCAATCCCTGGGACCCACATTGTGGAAGGAGAAATCTGACTCTGGAAAGTTGTCCTCTGACCTCCACATTTGCACTGTGCTATTCGCATGTATGCATGCAGACACACAATAAATAAGTAAACGAATAAATAAATTTTAAATGTAATAAGAATTAGCTGTGGAGTAGTCCATTTTTTTAAATTTTTATTCTATTTTATGTGTATGCATGTATTGTGTGCATGAGGTAAGTGCACCTGTGTCATGCAATGCCTGCAGAGAACAGAAGAGGCTGTCAGATCCCCTGGAACTGGAGTTATGGACAGTTGTTAGCTGCCATGTGGGTGCTGGGATTTGAACCTGGGTCTTCTGCAAGAACAACCAGTGTTCTTAACCACTGAGCCATCTCTCCAGCCCCTGGAGTAGTCCATTGTGTGACTGCTATTTATTTAATTGTTCCACTGTTGACAGGTAGGGTTTTTTTGTTTTGTTTTGTTTTGGCGGGGGGGGGCGGGGGTTCTGGTCTTTTTGAGACAGGGTCTCCCTGTAGCTCCAGCTGGTCTGGAACTCGCTATGTAGACCAGGTTGGCCTTGAACTCACAGAGATCTGCCTGCTTCTACCTGAGTCTGGGATTACAGGTGTGTGCCACCATGCTTGGTGGTCTGATCCTTTATTTTAAAAAGTTGTTTTTGTATTTATTTATTTTTATATATGTGAGTGTTTTGTCTGCATGTATGTTAGTGTACCACATATACCCAGTGCCGGAGGAGGACAGAAGAGGGTGTAGGATCCCCTGGAACTGGAGTTACAGGTGGTTGTTAGTCCTCATGTGGGTGCTGGGAACTGAACCCAGGTCCTCTACAAGAGCAGCCAGTGCCCTTAACCAGTGAGCCATTGCTCCAGCCCCTAATCCTTTATTTTTTTAAAGATTTATTTTATTTTTCAGTTATATGTGTGTGTGTTGGTATGTGCATATGAGTGCCATTGCCCACAGAGGTCAGAGGAGGAGGGCATCAGATCCCCTGGAACTGGAGTTACAGGTGTTTTTGAGCTGTCTGATGTGGATGTTGGGAACCAAACTTGGTTCCTCAGCAAGTGCAGCAAGCATTCTTAGCCACCAAGCCGTCTCTGCTGCCCGTAACCCTTTATTATTAAAGCCAGTGCTATGATTAGTCCAACTTGTATGGGTGTCATGTCCTGCACATCTCTTTGTGCCTGTCTTTTTTCCTCTGGCAAATGCTAGATACTGGTTTTATTTATTCTTATTTTATGTATACAAATGTTTTGTCTGCATGTATATTTAAGTGCACCCATGTCATGTACTGCCTGTGGAGACCAGGAGGGGGTATCAGCTACCATGTGCATGCTGGGAACTGAACCTGGGTCCTTTGGAAGAGTAGCCAGTACTCTTCACCACTGAGCCAGCTCGCCAGCCCTAGCTATTGAGGTTTTATGTCCGGTTTTCTTTTTTCTCTTCTTTACTTCGTTTCTTTCTTTTTTTTTTTTTTTGAGATAGGGATTCCCTATAGCCCCAGCTGGCCTGGAACTTGCTATGTAGACCAGGCTGGCCTTGATCTCACAGAGATCTGCCTGCCTCTGCTCTCCTGAATGCTAGGATTAAAGCATGAGTCAACCATGAACACCTGGCCCAAACAGTTTCTTTCTTTTTTTGATAGAGTCTCAAAAATTCACTACATAAACCAGACTGGCCCAATCTCACAGAGATTCATCTGCCTCTGCTGCCTAGTTCCAGGATTAAAGGTGTGTGCCACCATGTCCAGAACTGTTGTTTTTGATTTTGTATCACAAAAAGACCATATAAAATATAATTACCCAGAATTTTGGGTTGGATTCAGAGGAATTTGGCTTAAGGCTAGATGGGTTTGTTTTTCTTTAATTTTTCAGTTATGTTTATTTATTCATTTATTTATGGGTGGGACTTGTGTGGATACTAAAGGACAATTTGTGGCAGTAGGTTCTCTCCTTATACTTTGTAGGTCCCTAGAAGTGGAACTCAGGTCATTAGGTTCAGCAGCAAATGCCATTACCCGCCGAGACAACTCACTGTATCCCTCAATTTTTAGAATAATGTGCTTTTTGTTTGTTTGCTTTTGAGAGTGTCTCTTAGCCTAGACTTGCTCTAAGTTGCTGTGTGGCTGAGCTTCACCCTGTATTCTGACCCTCCAGCTACTACTTCTGAATGCTAGAATTGCGTATGTACACCGCCATGCCTGGTTGTGTGCTTTGAACAAAGCAAACTAAATTCCCAGAATTGCAACAACAATAACAATAGCAACAAAAGATCTGAAATCTGACAGTACCCCAAATCTTCAGGTTTCAGTACATTTTGAGTTTTGACTTTAAGGTTAAGGATGATGTTCTGGTTGACTTTAACCATCAACCTGACACAACCTAGAGTCATCTGAGAGGAAAGCCTCAATTGAGGAATTTTCAAAATCAGATTGACCTGTGGGCATGTCTGTGGGGGATTGTCTGGTTTGTTAATTGATATAGGAGGGCCCAGCCCACTGTGAGCAGTACCATTCCTAGGCAGGTGGTCCTGAACTTGTTAGAGAGCTAGCTGAGTATAAGCTGGCCTGGGAGCCTGCTAGCAAGCAGCATCCTCCTTGGTTCCTGCTGTATTTCTTTGGTTATGAAGGGAATTCTTTGGTTGGAGGTTGTGCTCTGTGGAATAGCAAGCAGGCCAGTCTTTAAGGTTCTGTCTTGAGTTCTTGCTTTGGGTTCTCTCTCTGTTTTTTTTTTTTTTTTTGGTCTTTTTGAGACAGGGTCTTCCTGTAGTGGGGCTGGCCTTGAACTCACAGAGATCAACCTGCCTCTGCCTCCTGAGTGCTGGTATTAAATGTATGTGCCACTATGTCCAGTGTGACCTGGAATTTTAAGCTATATAAACCCATTTCTTTCCCTGAGTTGCTTTTTGTCAGTGTTTTATCACAGCAACAGAAGGGAAACTAGAACAGTTGCCTAACTGATAAAGTTTTGTAGTATTACAAAATATGACAGTACTGGAATCTGAAATGCGTGGTCCTGTACATTTCAGATAGGGGATGCTTAACCTGAGTCATGCACAGGAAAGTTCACAAGTTGTAACTATGCTTGCTGAGTTTTCACAAAGTCCATATCCAGGACGGGCATGTGCTGCTGCCTATCACTCACAGCCCCTCCTTGGCTGGCATTCTCCTCACTTTCAAGGCCATAGATGAGTTTTGTTTTAAAATTAGATAAATCAGGGCTGGAGAGATGGCTTAGCAGTTAAGAGCACTGGCTGCTCTTGCAGAGGACCCAGGTTCCATTCTCAGCACCCATGTGGCAGCTAACAACCATCTATAATTCCACTTCCAGGGGATCTGACACCCTCTTCTGACCTCCACAGGTATTGCATGACACAGGTGGACTTATGTATATGCAGGCAATATACTCATACATAGAACATAAAAATAATAAAAATATTAAAAAAATAAAATTAGATGTCTCAGCCAAATTTTGAAATGCTACATTGCCTTTGCACGTGACTGTAGACCATTTCCTGGACTTGATCACATGTGTCCACTAAGATTACTGTTCAAGCAGGTGCTTGCACACAAGCTTCCTTGACCCCATGTGTTCTAAATTCCAGCAAGATGCTCTGCCTGGGCGTTTCCCCATCACGTCCATGACCCACCTTATCTCCCCTGGGCCTTGTACCTCTTCTCACACATGCTTCCATTTGTGGGTCACCATCATCTGCCCAGTGGTCTGAGTGGTTGGGAGTCTGCCTGATGGCTTCCCTTCCTTTGCTCCCCAGAAGGCCTCGAAGGCTCCTTCCAACTTTTCTCTTAATGGTCTCAGGAAAACCATTCTCATTATTGTGGCCCAGGCTGGCCTTGAACATGAGATCAACCTGTATCAGGCTCCCCAGTGCTTGGATTTCAAGTGTGCATTAGCAACTGAGGCTCTACTTCTTTGTGATTTACTGCAGGAGCTAAGACTGCTCCATGTCGTGGGCAGGGACTATATCTGTCTTGCTCATTCTTTTTCCCTGGTACCTGGCAAATAAGGAAGTTCCAGTAAGTAAACAAATGGCAGGGGAGAAGGCAGCTTAAACAGCATGTAGGATCAAGGAATGGGATTTCCTTTCCTACCCTGCATAGAGCTCCCTCCCTCTCTCCTTCCTCCCTCCGTGCCTCCCTCCTTTTATGTGTACACATGTAGAGGCCAGAGGACAACTTTTGGGAGTCAGTTCTCTCCTTCTACTGTGGGTTCCAAGGATCTTCCTCAGGTCATTCATCAGTCTTTCAAGGATTTTAACCTTTACCCTGCTAAGATACCTCACCAGTTGGAGACGGGGTTTTCCTAGATAGACTTTGTGCCTTGAGGCAAAAGGTGGGTGTTCTCATTGCCTTTCTGTTGCTGTTGTAAAACTCTCTGTCGAAAAGCAACTTAGGGGAGGAAAGGGTTTCTTCAGCTTAGAGTTCCAGGTTACAGTCCATCACTGAGGGGAAATTGAGGCAGGACCTTAAGCAGCTAGTCATATCACATCCACAGTTAAGAGCAGAGAGAAAGGAACATGTAATGCTGTCTGCTTGCTAGGTTGCTTATGCTCAGCTAGCTTTCTTCACTTGCAGTCTGGGACCACCAGCCCAGGGAATGGAGCTGCCCATAGTGGGTTGGGTCTTCGGATATCAATCGGCAATCAAGACAATTCTCTACAGATATGTCCACTGACCAACTTGATCTAGGCAGTCCCTCAATTTTGCTTTCTTCCCAGATGATTCTAGGTTGTGGTGAGTTGACATTTAAAACCAACCAGCACAGTGGGGCTAGCTAGAAGGATATGGCCGGTGCAGTGGGAATGGGAGCCTGTCCTGCTCCAGAGAGCTTGAAAAGCCCAGCTAAGGTGTAGAGGGGGATGGTTAGACTGTATTCTGATCCTCATTTTCACCTGGCTTCTCTTTCCTTCCAGTTCCGGACAAAGAGGTGTAAGCAGACTGCAGGACCGACCAGTACCATCATGGCAGGTAAGGAGGGGTGGGCCATGTTGGGGTGGACATGAAAATGAGCATAAAGTAGTGAACCTTGTCCTAGTCTTTGGAAGTCCTGCTCTTTCTGTTCCCTTGTCTCCTGGTTTACCAGCCATCCTCACCAAGGTTCTCTATCAGAACCTCAAAATAGCAGCCTCTACCTCTCTGTTACATTTTGAGCTTGGGGACCTGAATTGATGTCCCTGTCCTACTGTCCAACTGACTGATTTGCAGCACAAGTGGCCTATCCCCTTTCTCCTGTGTTACCATTATACTGAGACTTTTTCCTCTGGTTTCTAAAGACTCAGATAGATAGTGCCAAAGCTAAAGGGAGCTTTAAGGACTATGTAGCCCACCCAGCCTCTACCCCCATTGAATAATTGAGGTCCGGAGGAGCTGGTCTGGAGGAGCAGTGAATTGAATGAAGAATATTGGGGGGCTGAGGAGATGGCTCAGCGGTTAAGAGCACAGACTACTCTTGCAAAGGACCCAGGTTCGATTCCCGGCACCCACATGGCAGCTATGAACCGTCCTTAACTCCAGTTCCAGGGGGATCCAAAGCCCTCTTCTGACCTCCGCAGCATTGCACAACACGGGTGCACTCACATACATGCAGGCAATACACTCATACACATAAAATAAAAATAATAAAATATTAGAACAAAAAAGAATGTTGGGGTGGAGGCCAGAACCTACACCCCTAGACTTTTACTCATCCCACTTCCTCTGCTTAGAACTTGTTCTCTACTGAAGAGGGTACCTCACCCCGATGGCAGCTTTTATTAATGTTTTTATTCTTTCAAGAGGTGCTGTCTCAGGGACCTTGGTTCCTTTGAGATCATCTTGGCAGACTCAGGAAGTAGGGATGGCTGTGTGGGAACTGCAAAGCAGCCAGGGAGCAAGGGGTCAAGGGGGCAGCCCAGCCAGAAGAGGAAGGGCCATAGGACCTATAGATCAAGTCGGGAGGCTGGGGGAAACAGACTCAAAATGATGCTCTGTGATGTGTCTCACCCACAGAGAAAGTGAACAACTTCCCACCGTTGCCCAAATTCATTCCACTGAAGCCATGTTTCTACCAAGACTTTGAGGCAGACATCCCTCCCCAGCATCTCAGCTTGACCAAACGCCTCTACTACCTCTGGATGTGTGAGTACTGTGGGAATGGGGTCAGGGAGAGAAGGAGATGGGGTTGTTGGGTTTGGGGTGGGGTCCTTGTACCACAGCTGTCCAACTGGAGCATCTGGGAAATCTTTTCTCCCCTGGTTCCAGCAGGCTCTTCAAAGTCCAGCTCTCCAGCTGGGCTTCAGTTCCCCTCAAGTTGGCCTCTCCTTCCCTCCCTCCCTTCTCCATCTCTTGTTCACAGAGCCTCTGGGTGTGGTCTCTTTGCCGTGTGATTTCTCTTTTTGCTTTTCTCCTTTCCACTGGAGTAGTTTTCCAGAGAACCTGTGGTGACTGCCAGGATTCTGGATTTGGAGGAGAATCTCTCCCCCAATACTTCACGTTTCTTGATTTCTTTCTCAAAGAGAAGCATATTCAACTGGAAGTTTGGAGACATGGAATCTAATTTGTCTGGTCACTACTTCCCAAACACCAGGTTCCCCATGAGCGAATGAGATACTGATTCACTAATTAGATTTCTAATGCTCTGAGGGTCAAAGGTTGAGAGTTTAGAGGCCCCAGTTTCTGGTGGTCTATGGAAGGTTGGTATGATAGTGTCATCTTGAGGTGTGTGTGATGTGTCTTTGCCCAGGGTAGTCAGAAGGTATAGCTTAGGCATGGAGGTCAGGCTGGCTGTCCTGTGTAAGTTGAGTCCAGGGACCCCCAGACTCCTGCAATGTGACTACTGTTGACATCTGTCACATGTGACATTGCCTTGACTGAAGCCTGGACTCAGCCATCTAGCTGGACAGGTGACTGCTTGTGTCAGGAAGTTAGTAAGGAATGTTGTCTTGGGCTAAGGGCATGACTCAGCAGGTGAAAACACTTGTCCCACAAGCCTGACAACTTGAGTTCAGCCCCTAGAATCTATGTAAAAAGTTCGATTCAGTAGCACACATCTATAATCCCAGCTCTCCTACAGAAACCTGGGAGGCAGAGACAGAATCATCTGGAAGCTTCCTAGGCCAGCTGAGTCTGGAGTACAGAGTACAGTGGCAAAAACGAGACACCCTGCCTTGTCAAGGTCAAAGAAAAGAATAGATTCCTGAAAGTTATCATCTGACTCCCATACATGCTCAGTGGCATGTGTACATGAATGTGTGTGTTTGGGGGGGGTACACAAATAAGTAAATTAAAAGAAGAACGCTGTCTTTACAGCAGGCTCTTCATGGGATGGTAGGAGAAGTAGAGGGTCAGGTTCACAGACTTCCACATCCCAGCTTGATTCTGGGCAGAGAACAGTCTCCTGCCATTATAGCATGAGAGGAAGAAGAGATGGAGCAGGTAGGGTAGGTCTATAGGTGTTGGAAGAAAATTTATTCCATTAAATATGATGTAGAAGTAGGGGTAGGAACTTTGGTGGGGGGTAGTTGCAGATGAGAGTATGCTTTTGCAGACAATGAGGAAAGACACCTAGCCACCGAGATTTCTGAAGCTGTGTGTGGTAGCACATGCCTTTGCTCCCATCACCTGAGAGATAGGCAGGCACATCTCTGTGAGATCGAGGTCATCTTGGTCTATGTACCCAGGCCAGCTGGGGCTACAGGGAGACTGTCTCAAAGAACCAAAATCGATGTAACAAATAATTGTAGACTCCAAGCTAGACAAAGAGAGGAGTAAACATAGAAACCAGCTCATGGCTGGAGAAGTACTGGGTGAGTCAGTGGGTGTCCATTCCAAAGACAGATCAGAGAATTTCAGCAGAAACACTAGAACAGGTGAGCTGGAAAGGGGTGGGTCTGGGAAGAGTGATGCTAGCCAATATAATAGGTTAATGTCTTTTCCATAAGAAGAGCAAATAGGGGTCAGTGAGATGGCTCAGTGGGTAAAGGCACTTGCTGCCAAGACTGACAATCGGAATTAGATCCCTGGAACCCATATGGTAAGGGGAAAGAATTGACTCTTGGAAGTTGTCCTCTCATCATCACATTTGCACTATGGCATGCACACACACATGTGGGCACACACACAAATGAATGTTAAAAAAAGAGAAAATAAAATCAGTAAGAAAGCCAAGGCTCCAGGAAACTGTAAAGCATTGAACAGGGATGGAGGAAACAGCTGTATTCATACTTGTTATGGGGGCCCTGAAATGGTTGTACCTGCACAGGAAGCAGTTACCAGGCCAGGTCAGACTTAGGGGAGCACTCTGCCTGGCCTGGGTTCCTGGAATCTGCCCCTGAGAACATCTCATCCAGAAACTGGATTTAAGAGCTATAAATATCTCCTTAAGTCCTTACTTGGAACCTGTCAGGTGCTTTGGTCCTGAGGAAATTTATTTAAGCCTTAAGCCTTGAGATTCAGAAGATGAGTGTAGAAGATGCCTGTGTGAGACCAAGATTGAGCCTACCTTCCTTTGTTAACTCAGCAGGTCTTTATGAACTCAGCCCAATGTTCAAGGAAGGGAACACTCTGAGGTCAGAACTAAGTATATGTTAGTGCCAACATTTGTTTTATTATCTGTAATACATGGGGAGTCTTTGGGCTTCTCTTCGCTATGACTCAGTGATACTGTGCTTGCTAGGATCATCTAGGTGAGATGAGGACAGAGGAATGGGAATCTGGGTCTCGCTGTTGAGAAGTTTCTAGTCTGATTGTGGGGAACCATAGAACAGCCCAGGTCTGCAAGAGGTCAGAGGAATAGGAGATAGGTTAGAAGATACCTTGGAGGAGGAGGAATGATAGTTGTGTAATAAATATGTTAGAGGTTGTAGAGATAACTTGGTGGTTAAAAGCACTTACTATTTTTCCAGCCGACCTGGGTTCAGTTCCCAGCACCCACATACACATACACACTCACAGCTGCCTGTAACTCCAGCTCCAGGGGATCCAATGTTCTCTTCTGGCCTCTGTGGGCACTGCACATATGTGGTGCACACACATAACACTGACACACACACACATGCATATAAAATAAATAAAAAAATACCTTTTTAAAAATGAAGTGAATAAGCTGGGCGTGGTGGTGCACGCCTTTAATCCCAGCACTTGGGAGGCAGAGGCAGGTGGATCTCTGAGTTTGAGGCCAGCCTGGTCTACATAGTTCAGGACAGCTGAGGCTACAGGGAGACCCTGTCTCAAAAAGACCAAAAAAAAAAAGAAGTGAATTAACCGAGGACTGAGCTCCCAGCCACTATTGTCTACCATTGGAGTGCCAGTCGATGGCCGGGTGTTTGAAGAGATATTTCCACAAGATTTTTTTTTTTTTTTTTTTTGGTCTTTTTGAGACAGGGTCTCCTTGTAGCTGGCCTGGAACTTGCTATGTAGACCAGGCTGGCCTCAAACTCTCAGAGGTCCACCTGCTTCTGCCTCCAGAGGGCTGGAATTAAAGGCCTATGTCACCATGCCTGGCCCACAAGTCCTTTTTATAAAAAACAAAAAAACTTTATTTTATATGTGAATGCCTGCATGTATGTAAGTTCACCCATGTCTTGCAGTACCCAAGATACCCTGGAACTGGAGTTACAGATGGTTGTTAGCTTCCATGTGAGTGCTGGGATTCAAACCCAGGTCTCCTAAAAGAGCAGCCAGTGCTCTTAACCACTGAGCCATCTCTCCAGCCCCCACAAGACCTTTTACTTTCCTCTTTTCATGTCCATATTCTTTTCTTTTTTTTGTCCTTTTGAGACAGTGTCTCCCTGTAGTCCCAGCTGGCCTATGTAGACCAGGCTGGCCTGGAACCCATAGAGATCCACCTGCCTCTGCCTCTCAAGTGCTGGGACTACAGGTGTGCGCTACCATACCCAGCCATATTCCTATTTTGTAAGAGAAGACTATAATGAGTTTCCTGTCTTGGGCTTGGTGATTACCGTGGGTTGGTAGGACCAAGGACTGAGTTGAGGTCATGGGGGTGGAACACTTAGGCCTATTTATTGCTTGCTAAGCACAACTCTATAATGAGCCACACCTCAGAGGTTTTTTGTTTTTTTAGACAGGGTCTCTCTATGTAGTACTGGCTGGCTGGAATTAGAACTTGCTATATAGACCAGGCTGGCCTTGAACTCATAGAGACCCACCTGCTTCTGCCTCTCCAGTGCTGGGATTAAAGGTGTGCACCACCATGCCCAGCCCAGACACCTTTCTTATTAGAACAAGACCCTGAGGCTTTGAAGTCCTTGCTGGGCTAGATTCCTGCTCTGGAGACTCTTGGTTCTCTGCGTTTTTCAGACCCCTACGGGGGATACGGGGAGGGATTTGGCTCAAGTGCCGAGCTGTCTTTCTTACAGTCTCTGTTCCCTCTGTGTGTTTGTGTGTGTATTCATCCATCTGGCTTGTGGGTCTTCCATGTGTGTTTTCGCTTGTGTGCATATATCCATGCGTGTATCTACATCTTAACACATGTTGTTGCCATGTGTTTGGTTGTGGGTCTATATTGAGTTCTGGGTATGTGTGCTCATGTCTGGGTGCTCTCATGTATTTCTGAATGGGCTTTGGTGTCTGTATGCATCTGTTGTCTGTCTCTGTGTATGCATGTGCTCCTGGGTCTGCAGTGAACAGCGTCACGCTGGCCGTGAACCTGGTGGGCTGTCTCGCGTGGCTGATCGGAGGCGGAGGAGCCACCAACTTTGGCCTCGCCTTTCTCTGGCTCATCCTCTTCACACCCTGCTCCTATGTCTGCTGGTTTCGGCCCATTTACAAGGCCTTCAAGTAAGTGGTTGGTGCTGACTCAAGCTCCTAGCTGTTTCCCTCTGCTGTCCCCCAAACTCACTTTTCCTTGCTCACCTTTGCCTAAGACTTTCAGGTGGGGCTTGGGCTTCCTAGGGGCTCCAGCCTGGGGTGAGAGCGCTGGGAAGTGGGACCCTTAATTATTTCCCCTCTCATGCTACCTTGCTTATCAAATTTTGCCTCCCTATCTTGATGGAGCTGCCCATCCACTGGGACTGGCTGATTTGGCACCAAGACCTGTTATCCATGTGCTGGTAGAATCAGCCATCCAAGAACCACTGACACTATTCATGTGTCAATGATGTCATCCAATTCTGTGCCAAAAGGAATACCCATCCATACATCAATTGGGCTAGGTGTCTTGGTACCAGTGATTATCCATCTAGTGCCAAATGGAAGTTTCAATCTTTGTGCCATTAGGACTATACATATCAATAAGCTGTCATGATGCCAATAGAGTATGAATTTTAATGCTAATGGGGCCTTAAATCTCCTTGTCAATAGGACTGTCTATTTATATGCCAATTAGCTACTGTCTTGGTGCCAGTGAAGTATCTATTCTAGTGCCACTGAGATTTTCTATTTCTAAGCCTATAGGACCTCTATCCATATTCTAGTAGAGCTGGTTATCCTGATACCTGTGGGCTTGTCCAGCCCCTTGATAATGGGACTGTTTGTTTCTACCAAAATGGAGCCATTTGTTTCTATGCCAATAGGGTCATTCATCCATACACCATGGTTGATGCATTCATGAGATCACACTCTTGCATACAGGCCTAAGCCATGGAAACCTTCAAAGATCTGTGGATAAAAGCTGTCCCATTCTGCCCTTCAATTAAGGCCTTTAAATATCTTTGTCCATTATGCCTGGAGGGGCTTTAGGTATCTAAGGGCAGGAAAGCCTACCACCTCTGCCCAGGTGACGACCCATTCTCTCTTCTGCAGGACGGACAGCTCCTTCAGCTTCATGGCATTCTTCTTTACCTTCATGGCCCAGTTGGTCATCAGCATCATTCAGGCTGTGGGAATTCCAGGCTGGGGTGTCTGGTAAGAGGCAGAGGGCTGGCCTGGGGCTGGAAGAGATGGCCGCTTTAGTTTGTCCTTGGCTTACCTGTATACCAATCTATCTTGCCTGTGAGAACACTGTGAGTGACTGGTTGTAGGTAGAATGAGAGGATTTGGGATAGTGTAGTCATGTTCACCATAGAGGAGAAGGAGAACTGGAAAGTGATGCCCAGGTGGCTGAGGAGTGTCAAACATTGGGGGAAAGCCAGAGGGGGAAAACCTTATGCCTCAGGCCTTCTGGGACACGGGCTGTAGGGTATCAGTCTTATTACGGCACCTCTCTAGGGTATGACTCCTCCCTGTCATAATAAGTTGATCTCTTGGGGTGGCTCCTGGGTCTCCTCCTACCTGCACAGCCCCACAGCTGGCTTTTTCCTACAGCGGCTGGATCGCCACCATCTCCTTTTTTGGGACAAACATTGGTTCAGCAGTGGTGATGCTCATTCCCACAGTCATGTTCACAGTTGTGGCTGTCTTTTCCTTCATCGCCCTCAGCATGGTATGTGGCCACCTCAAGGATAAGAGGGTGGATTGGGGAGGGGACAAAAGGATCCAGGGGGCTGGGGAGATGGTTCAGTGGGTAAAGTGCTTGCTGCGTAAGCATGAGGGCCTGAGCCTGAATCCCCAGAACCCACATAAAAGCCCAACATGATGGTGTGGGGGTTGAGCAGAGACTGGCAGAGCTCAGGGACTCACTGGCCAGGCAGTCTAGCTGAAATAGTGAGTTTCAGGTTTAATAAGAAACGCTCTCTCAAAAACAACTGCCGGGCGTGGTGGCGCACACCTTTAATCCCAGCACTCAGGAGGCAGAGGCAGGCAGATCTCTGTGAGTTCAAGGCCAGCCTGGTCTACATAGTGAATTCCAGGACAGCTGGTGCTACAGGAAGCATCTCAAAAAGACCAAAAAAAAATAACAACAACAAAAAAAACCCAACATGGTGCCAGGCATGGTTGTGCACACCCTTAATTGTGCACTCAGGAGGCAGAGGCAGGTTGATCTCTGGAAAATGGAGGCCAACCTGGTCTGTATAACAAGTTCTAAGCCAGCTGGGGCTACAGGGAGACCCTGTCTCGAAAAACCAAAATAGCACCGGGCATGGTGGCACAAGCCTTTAATCCCAGCACTCTGGAGGCAGAGGCAGGAGGATCTCTGTGAGTTCAAGGCCAGCCTAGTCTACATAGTGAGTTCCAGGACAGCTGGGGCTACAGGGAGACCCTGTCTCAAAAAGACCAAAAAAAAAAAAAAAAAAAAAAAAAACAAACCCCCAAATAGCAAGTAACCAAAAATAATAAATAAAATAAGGTGGAGAACAATGGAGGAAGATCCCTAAAGTTGACCTCTGGTCTCCACATGCACAGGCAAGTGCACCCCCCCCACACACACACACACAAATTAAAGGATGGAGAAGTGCTGGAGAGATAACCCAGTAGGTAATAGTGTTTACTATGCAACCATGATGATCTGAGTGTGAATCCCTAGAACCCATGTAAAGCCAGGCACTATGTGCACCTGTAATCCCAGTATTCCTGTAGCAAGATGGGATGCAGAGACTGGAGAATCCCCAGAAATGTGTGGGCCAGGTAGCCTAATGTATGTTGTGGCAAAATGAGACCTGTCTCAAACAAGGTGAAGGTAAGAACTGACACTCAAGGTTGTCCTCTGTTCTCTACGTGCATGCCGTGGCATGCGTGTACCTGTAGTCACACACACTTACACAGTCACAAAATTTTTTTTTTAAAAAAGAAGAATCCTGGGGCTGGAGAAATGGCTCAGCGGTTAAGAGCATTGACTGCTCTTGCAGAGGACCGGGGTCGATTCCCAGCACCCAAACTGTCCTTAACTCCAGTTCCAGGGGAATCCGAAGACCCCTTTTGACCACCTCGTGCACTCATATACATACAGGCAATACACTCGTACACATAAAATAAAAATAATAAAATATTTAAAAAAAAAAAAAAAAAAAGAATCCAGAGGTCTTTGGAATTACTCATTCTGAGGGCTGGTTTTTCACAGAAAGATCCATCTGTTTCCTGGATGACTGCCCCCACTCTTGTTTTTTCTTTTTCTTTCTTTTTTCTTTTTTTCTTTTTTTTTTGAGATAGGGTCTTATGTAACTCAGGCTGGCCTCAAACTTGAGGTGTAATAAAGGCTAACGTTGAACCCCTGATCCTTCTGCCTCCACCTCCTAAGTACCTAGGGTATAGGCATGCACCACTAAAAAACTTTTATTTTTGAGACAGCCCAGGCTAGTCTTGAATTCATGATTCTCCTGCCTCTGCAGGGCATACAGCCCCTTGCCTGGTCTGCTTCCCTCCTTAACTAACCCTTCCTTATGCTTCTCCTCCTTCAGGTTCATAAATTCTACCGGGGCAGTGGAGGGAGTTTCAGCAAAGCTCAGGAGGAGTGGACCACTGGGGCGTGGAAGAACCCGCATGTGCAGCAGGCAGCCCAGAATGCAGCCATGGGGGCAGCACAGGGTGCCATGAATCAGCCGCAGACTCAGTATTCTGCCACCCCTAACTACACATACTCCAATGAGATGTGAGCCAGCCAAGCCTACCAGGAGGCAGGGCTGGGGCCAGTGTATATGTATGTATATATGTATATGTTTATCCCCCGCCCCTACCTTCTGGGTCCTGCTCTCAGCACTCTGAGAGCTGTGGGCTGCACGAGGAGCCGGCCCATGCATTGGTAGCTATGTCCATGTCCCCTTGTAAAATAACATGCAGTGGAAGTCTCTTGTTGTGGTGCTAGATGTATGTTTAGAACTAAACCAGCCCCCCACCCTCCACCAGGCTGCCCCCTTTGACCCTGGCCCAGGGATTTCTCATGGGGCGGGGGGAGGCATAGCAGTGAGCCTGGTTACCTGTGCAGGGTTATGAGCTGAAGCTGTTTCTGCCTTTGGTCCTACTGGAAAGCAACAATATTGAGCACTCATGTGGCAGATGGGAGGGTGAGACAGACAAGGGACATTTTCTTGCTCGAAATCTGTCTGGGACTCCCCTTCAACCTCTTCCTCCCCTTGCTTCCTTCCTGCTGTCAGATTCCTTGTACTCTCTCCCTTCACCCAGGATCTCTTTCTCCTCTCCACATAGCTTTTCTTTGTCTTCCCAAGGCTAAATGACCCACTTATATCTGCTTCTAAGACTGAGCCCAGGTTCCCAGATCTGATCTGATTTCCAGTTCAAGGAAGCCCACATGGGAGATGAGCCAGCCCTGATGTGGGAGGGGCATGCAGCTGGAGATGCAGAGCCCATTTTTGTACTTGACTCCCAGGGAATGGAAATGCAGGACTGGTCTCTGGTTCTAAAAGCCTGCCCTGCAGAGACAGGCTTCTGTTTTTCCCTCCCCCCCCACTCGCCTCTTCTCCCCAGATCCACCTTTAGCTATTCTGCCTTTTCTGAGGAGCTAGGTTGTATTAGACAGTTGTCAGGTGTAAAGGCACTACTGAACAGTGGGCATAGAAATTACTAATCTGTGGAAAAGGGCTTCTGGGTATCCCTGAGTGACCATTGGATTCCTGGGAGGAGTAGCTGTTCTATTTGGATGTGGCAGAAAAGGATGGTGCTCAGAGGGCCAGTCTGAAGGGAGGTCAGAAGAGAAGGAAAACGGCCCAATGAGAGGGGAGCTCACCTCCTAGCCCCACTAGTCCTTGACTATAGGACAGTTTCTAGGGAGATGCTCCCAAGCCCATTTTGTAAGCACAGTGGCCTGAATGGATTCCTGGTTGGCAGCGAGGGAAAGAGGGACAATTCTGGCTTTAGTTTTTAATTTAGTGGTTTTTGCCCACCCCCACCTTCATCTCCCTGTTAAAAAGAACTACAGGACTTGGTTCCTGGCCTTTCCTTTCCCTCTTCCCCTTCAGGACAGTTATCTCAGTTCCTGGGACTGTTCTTTTCCAAGCAGTGGTGAACACTACTGGTAGGGGCTCCAGCTCTGTGTGAGGCCCGAGGTGAGTGGGTCTTACCCAAGGAGTGGAAGCTGTTTTGTTTCTTATCCTCTTTCCAACAGAAGCCCACCTAGGCTAGGTAGACTGAAAAATGAGACCATACTCTGCCATATCAAACTGGCTTCACCTTAGAACCTAACACCTGGAATTTCAGGCCACCTTGTGCTTTGATCTCCAGCTTCTTTCTTATAAGAGAAGCCAGGAGTCTGGAAAGTTCCTTTCCTAATGGTCTCTTAGGCTTAGTTGATTCCTCTACCATTTTTATTTTCTGAAGAGCAGTTGTCATAGCCCCTGGTATCCTAAAAGACCCCTTCCTCTCCTTCCTTTCTCTTGCCCCCAGACTTCTGGCTCCCTGTCTCTTAGTACCTCTGGTAGTTCCAGGAGGGCTGTGATCTAGCTGCCAGCCTAGCATCCATGATCTGTTGGATGCTACCTCCAATCAGTTTCCTGTCCTACCTGCCTTTCCTCTCTCCTGGCTCATACCTATTGGCCATGCCTGGCGCTGCCCCTGGAAAAGCCTGTTAACCAGTGTCTGGCCCAGCTGTTCAGGCCCTGGAATGCTGCATCTCCAGGCAACTATGCACTTTCCTGGGGAAGGAACCAGGATGAAATGGGGTTGGGCACAGATGGTTTGACTTGGGGGTGGGAGGAGAGTCCAGCAATTTTGGGATCCCTGGTCTGCGGCCAGCCAGTGACCTGCTTTTGCATTCTCCTGGTGCCCACTGCCCCTTGTTTCTGAGAGACACAAACCATTCCCTAGCTGGCAGTTCACCTGCCTGAGTCAATGTGTCTATTTGTAGTAACTGGATGAACTATAATAAAGGGGAACATTTGACCCTGTCTTTTCTGTTGTGTAATGTGTCTTTATGTGGGCCTGAATGGAGCCTAACTATGGGATGTGAGGCAGGGGTGTAGGAATGGGTTAGGTGGATCTGTGGCTTGTCATTCTGTGATGCCCAAAGACATACACTTCTCTGTGACCCTTTCCCTGAGGCAGCCTTGAGTAGGTCATGAAGTTACCACAGAGGCTTCCTGCCAGTTAGGAGGAGGAAGTAGGAGTAGGCTGACTCAGTGGGTGAGGGCGAGAGTGACTTGATTCATGGTGGGCACCTTGGGAATAGAACACGGGCCCTTCTTCAGCTCCCATAGTCGGTCACCTGCAGCTGGTTCAGCAGCTTCAAGCAACAGAAAGGTTCTGGGGGCCTGTGGGAGCAAAGACAGTGCTTCCAATGAGTTCTCTTTGCCAATCCTGTGCTGTTCACTTGGAATGCTGTCCTAATCATCTATGCTGGTCATCCTTCAAGATTCATCTCAAGGGCTGCAGAGATGGCTTAGTGGTTATGAGCATTAGCTGCTCTTGTAGAGGACCTGGGTTTGGTTCCCAGCACTAATATGGCAACTAACAACTGTCTAGAAGCTCCAGTTCCAGGGGATCAGATGCCCTCTTCTGGCCTCCGTGGGCATTGCACACACATGATGCACTTACATACATGGCAGGCAAAACATGCATATACATAAATGGCTTCATTGATGGCTTTCCTGCTTGGAATTATAGCTTAAGCCTGAAGCTTCCTCATGGAATACCTATCCTGTAATTTTCTGCATTCCTGTTTGTCTCAAGAGTAGAGCTGGGCCTGGAGAGGATGGCTCAGCAGTTAAGAACACTGGCTGCCCCAAAGGACTCATCCTATTGTAGAAATACTTGTACAACCATGTTTGTTGCTGCTCTTTTCACAATAGCTAAGAGATGGAAGCAACCTAAGTGCCCCTCAACTGATGAGTGGTTAACAAAAGTGTGGTATATTTACACAGTGGAGTTCTATTCAGCAGTAAAGAAAGATGAAATAATGAAATTTGCAGGTAAATGGATGGATCTAGAAACTGTTACACTAAGTGAAGTAACAGACTCAGAAAAACAAACGACATTATGTTCTTCCTCATATGTGGATCCTAGCAACAAATCCTTTTAAATTCCAGGTTCTTTTAATAATATGATGCTATACAGCAGTCCCTTCTGCATGAAATAACTACCATCATCATGACTTCAGCTGAGCTGATCGCTAAACATCGTCACAATTGGGCTTGTTGAAGGTTGTGCTCCTTCTTTAAAGGAGGGCCAGGCAGGGTCATTGGACTTCACAGCATTATCCAGCCACTCTTCCCAGCCAATTGAATGTAATTTGACCCTAATCACACATGGCCTCCTGGATTTGGGGAGGGCTAAAGTATACAATCTGGGGAAGGCTAGGAAGAGAAGGCATGACCCATACTGGGTAAAGACTTTCCAGTGTGCATACCCTCAGGTCATACATACACCTCAGCAACCCCTCAAACATTGGCTTGACA